AGGGGTGGGGTGTAGAAGATCTAAGTACTATGCTTTGTTTATGGCGAAGTTCAAAGAAGGCCTATCAAAGAAGGCCTATGTATTGCATTGGTGGTAATTACTTTCTTAAACTTACTTTCTCAAGGAATGGGGTCGTTCAGCACTTAAATCTCGATACAGGGGTCGTATAAACTTGTGGGTACTAATACTATTGCCATGTAGCGGTCGTATAAACTTGTAAGTACTATCTCGATGTAGGAGTCGTCTTGAAGTCGAAGATACAAGACTATCACCACAAATAGACCTAATCACTGTGGTAAACGGAAAAAAGTCACAGGAAAAAAAACACAGAAAAAAAGTCACAGTTTTTGCTAGGAAAAAAAGTCACAGAAAAAAAGTCACAGTGGAAAAATTTTATCGGAAAAAAAGTCACAAAAATCTTTTTAAAAATATTTTTATTAATTTGTTAAGAATTGTAAAATTTTGTATGTTTATTGTTGTGGGTTGTATTTTTTGATAGTATACATTATTTATAGACGTTAAAAGCATTATGATTTATAACAATTGTAAATAAAAATACTCTAAGATAATTTACACAACAATCTCAACTTTTTACGTATTTAGTTAAATACGCGGTAGAAAAGTTAATTATAAAAGAAATTTAGGCAAATTTTGCCGTAGGCTATTCATTGGTCGGCCTCTCCTCAGTAGGCATTGTCCGAACATATTTGGTGTTGCTGACGTTATGCGTCAATGACAGCCTTTGAACCTTGTCGGCTTTCTGTTTTGATCCTAAGTTTTGTTATGTAATGAGCATTATAAATGTGGGCAGTAAAGGTGGTTGAACTAAACATAACTATTGTTGCCATGAGTTGAGGGCAACAAGTCAGATGAACTTACCATTTCACGGTAATTTAATATTGGTATTTAAAAAAAAAACACGATGAAAACCGTGGACTTTGGAGCATTCTATTAAATGCTACTAATCTTAAGTTTAACATAATTACAATCTACATACTTCATAATAAATAGTTTTAGATGAATTATAAAAATTCCTATGCGTATACAGCCTACACACATTACATTACATTTAATTAATCCTAAGTTAATTTGCACTCTCTAAATATTTAATACATAAAAGTATTAACAAATATCATGCAAATATATATTTGTGACTTTTTTCCTGTGACTTTTTTTCCTGTGACTTTTTTTCCTGTGACTTTTTTATTGTGTTTTTTTTTCCTGTGTTTTTTTTTCCTGTGACTTTTTTTCCTACAATCATCACTGTATGGTACCACGACGTATTTATATATCTTGAAGATTTATACACTACATGAAGCCTCTAGCTAAACCACACATTTTTCGAAAGTTATATAAACCACGTGACGTAGGCAGATCAACTTCCGCTGTTGAACTTTGGTGGCTGGTAAAGGCATAGTCAGGCATTATAACATTAGTACAATTTAACTGTTATGACTTATGTCAAACAGCTTAAGACACTGTTTTGTGATGTAAATTTGTTGATGTAAAATTAAAATACCATGACCATTACATTCTAATGAGTTAAATCACGGATTGCTGACGTCCATTAGTTTCTTGTTCAAATTATTTTTACTGCTAGAAGACTTCTAGCACCGCAATAAAAACTCGTTTTCTAAATGTCTGAACTCAAAGAAATTACGTTTTTTCAAAACGGCTACAAATACTCAGGAGCTAAAGTAGCAGACAACATTTGTCAACGATCTTTCTTTAAGTGACTAGAGATTGGACTCAGAAAATGTTCTTACAATTAACTTAAAGGCTTTAAAACAAAACAAAATGTAAAGTAAAAACAACAACACTTAATTACGACATGCTTAAAAAAAAATAAGATAAAACAAACTTGCTCTCTTTCATAAAAGCATAGCATCGGCGACCAATGTTCTTTTTCCTCAAAATACTATGTGCATGTCCCTTTCCCAATATTACAACCAGTTCGATTACAACCCCCACATCCCATTATATATTTATATATATATATATATATATATATATATATATATATATATATATATATATATATATATATATATATATATATATATATATATACGATTCTTTATGATCTAACCCATATTTTGCAACAAAAAAATGTCTTCCCCTAAAACAAACCACGCCCACTTGTTATATGAACATCATCACCCCCCCCCCCCCACATACACCTGCAACAGTGCACCCGCACGCCGTTATCTCTAGCGTGGGTGGACACCCATCATGGCGGCAATGCTCTACTACGCCTAACCCTGACCCCGCATTAAAACCAAACCTAACCCGAAACCAGCGAGACCAGTTATACAGGAAGCAATCGGTAGACCCCTGTACACCCCTAGACTCTAGACCCACACATTAACCTACCATTTGCGTTGAACTGAGAGGGGGGGGAGTATTTTCACAATCTCTGCCGGTCTATTTTAAGCGGAGAGCTGAACTTTGATATTTTAACAGGCAATGTGTGTTGTCACCGTCCACGGGGTAGTTTAGGTCACCAAACACGCAGGGAATTGAATTTACAACGGGTGGTAGTGAGTGGGTGCGCTAACAGTACGCAGTCTAAATATAGTCTAGGCTAGCTAGCGTCGATTGTGCAAACTTACGTGGTAGTGCACTTGTGGTGCGGGAGGGAGTTGTAACGGTGGTGCTGATTGGTTGTTTGCTCTGTTGTGCTAGGGGCCTCGCCTAGCAACTGCTTCACGGCGTTGCGTAAGGATAAATTAAAATAAAATGCGTCTGCTTCAGGCGCAGTGTCCGAACCTGGCGCGTCACAACATCCGGTTGCAGCCGCAAACCCGCGGAAAAAACAAGGGTGTTGCAGTCTTGACGCGTCATTACAAGATGGAGGCAGTAGTGGAGCGTACCCGCCATACGCTATTAGTTAAATCGTCTGTTTTTAGGAAAAAGTTGGCCTAATCAGAACGCTAGTTTTCTAGGTATACTGTTATACAAGTTAGCCTTGTTATATATTTAGCAAGACGACATTTCCAATTGTTTTAAAATATAAAAATAAATAGAGTCTATGTGAAAAGCAAAATAGTATGTTGGAAGTACATCTAGAGCCCACACCCTACTATTCAATTAAATATGTCGTCCACAATCATGAAATTTAAATTTACTTTAAACTTATACTGTTTCATGCGGAGAACTCCTCCCAAAAACGCGTCTTGAAAATAGAACCCAATTTCCGCGGTTACTTCCCTTCGTACATTCAAACCTTTGAGAGCGTACTGTGTAGTTATGTTCCTGCTTGACTGAGCCTATCGCTGTGACCGAGCATTTAAATTTCGAGCCAATGAAATGTAGACAGGCGTAGTTGGATTTATTAGCATTAGGGGCGACTAGGCAAACACTGTATTTAGTGGAAAGCGGTATTAAGATCTATATAATTAAAACATTTAGCCCAAAGTAGACAAATGCATATAAATACAACTCTAGTTATATATTACATTTAGTATTAACGTTTATCTGATGACGTTTTTGAAATACGATCATGCTTATGCTTCAAACAAAACTATTTAGCAAATCTATTAGTAATAAGCTATTAATCTATTAATCTAAATGCCCGCCCCTCCCTCTCTCGACTTTGTGCTCATACCGATTAAAAACCCCATAGATAACAACATATAGCGTCCACCAAATACACATTTTTAACGTGTTTTTTTTTTTTTTTTTTTTTTTTTTTTTTTTTTGTGGCCAATTAAATTATAACCTCGTTTCATTAGACGAAGAGCATAGAAATTCGCCCACGCTCAAATCAATACACTAATCAATATTTCATTAGGACAGGCAGTCAAGAAAGAAAAAATCTTAATTCACCCAGGTTGCTGTCGTTTTAAAAGCCTCGTTATGAAAGCAAGCATCTTGTGCAAAAAGCACGACAACACATCTTATTGTACTGCTAGGACTGAACAGCACTTGTTGAATATCGAGTTGCCTGTGCCTCCACACCTTACAACCCCACGATGGTTCTTTCACGCGCCAAAAGCCATGACCTAGTCTATCGAGAGTTTCAAATTTTATCTCACCTCTGGTCGACTGTAGTTCACAAGTAGTTCCAGCATTTACTACTGGTCTACTGAGCGGGAAAAAAATCCCTTCACTACAGCCTACCTAATGTACGTTACCTGTGTAATCTGAGCATGAACTTACAAACCTACACTGCGTATTTTAGACTATAGTCTAGATAATGGCTAATATTTTCATGGTTACATTCCCTAAAGATAATAAGACTAAACCTTTTTATGATTTTTTTAACTAGCTATTATTTTTTTAGTTTAACCGAACAAAAGTTGCTTATAGAAGAATGCATGCCTATTTTCCCCGATGCATATACTTTTTTTAAAATTTATTATGGACGAATGGTTTTCGCGTTAGGGTAGGAAATAACTTTTTTTAGGGTGAAATACAAATAACTACTCCAGATCAACCAAAACCCGTGAAGGTCTTAGCTACAAAACTCAAAACATTGACTGACGCTTTGTGCGTGAATATCTTCCCGCCATTACGCTACTATTTTTTTCCCCATTCATAGCGGCCATCGCCCTTGCCCCCCTCTCCTACTAGCACAGACACACACACAGTCTGGCTCGGTCTGTCGCTAGCCAAACTTGAAATACATTGCACCCAGTGGCCGACCGAACCAAACATTGGGTGGGGGTAAAAGATTGTTGGGGGTTGGTGGCGGACCGAAGCACTTCTACGCAACATCAAATAGTTCTCTCATGTCTCAACCGATTCTTTGACGAACCGTTTACAAAATAATGAAAAATATATATTACAAGTATATTTATCAACACCTTATTCGAAAATTAAACTCGTTTAATTTAAATTGTATGCATTTAATATACAATATTACTATTTAGGTCTAGTCTAAGCCAGACATTTCGCCCCACAATCGCTGTAACCAAGTGGGCGGAGCATAGCGCAAGGATACGTTTCGCGCGGCGCTTCTCGTAGTTGTAGGCCTAGAGCGAAGCACGTCACCATCTGAAGCAGAATTTCAATCCTTCATACATAAAGTCGTGTTTCGCCTCTCTTTGCTCAGACGACTCCACTTATTTGTGCTGTGGAACATTATTTCTAAGTGCCTGAAGGATTAACAACGTGCAAATTTATTTCCACATTGAGAACATTTGGATAAATACACTTACCACTGTTGATATTTATTTCTGCTTCGGAGTCTGGATTTTTAACAAACTGATTAAATTATTTCATCTGTTTTTAAAACCAAACAGCGTTTAGTTAAGTGTAGTTTTTATACTTCACTATTCAAAACGGAATACAACTGTCTTTGGAGCTCTACGGATTATACCCGGGTGTTTAGGAAGTGGATATCGTCAGTGTCATCAACTGTGAGCATGCTAGGATTAAACCGTTTTTCGTGCTCGACTGTCAGCCAACAACAACACGATCAACACAGTAGCCACCAACAGCAACTTTTGCAGCAGCAACAGCAACAAAACATTGTAAACAATAACGTAAACTTGAATCAGACGATGTCACCTTCATCTCATGTAGCATCTCCATCCACTCCCAGAGTGAAAAGTAAGTCTAGTTATTCGTTTGCTATAGATCTAGATCTAGATCTAGATCTAGAGATATCTAGAATCTAGATCTAGATTTCTAGATCTAGAAATATAGATTTAGATTTCTAGATTATGTTTAAAATGTTAATTGGCACAATAAAATTCACTCTTAATTCCAATGTAGATTCTAGCTGTAGAATTTAGATTTAAGTATTTTACATCTAGATCTAGAATCTAGATCTAGAAATCTAGTCTAGAATTCTCTCAAACATTGTTTTGTTATTTATTCTAGATCTACTAGATTCTAGATCTAGAATCTAGATCTAAGTTCAATATTTTTGTAAATACACTCGAGTCAGTTGAGTCATTAGCATTAGGCCTATAATTTTGAATGTATTAGATCTAATCTTAATCTAGAATAGATAAAAAGATTGTTTGTAATTAAATTAACATGAATATTTTTTTTGTTTCTCCAGGCTATAAACACATGGAAAAATTAGAAACAGACTATGAAATAAATGGCCAGCTAGGGGCTGGTGGCTTTGGTACAGTCTATTCTGGTCTCAGAAGAAGAGATAATTTACCGGTTGCTATCAAACACATATACAAAAAGAAAGTCTCATCATGGACTAAATTGGTAAGTTACATTTTCTTTTCTCTAGATCTAGATCTATAATTTGTCTAGATTGATCTAAGGCAGTACGCTCTCTTACATTTAAAAAAAAGTTAACATTATATGTGTATTTTGTGTGCGAATGTTTACATTTGTGTACTAGTTCTGCTAGGTTGCTGTTTTTCCCAGGCACCCACCATATCCCCCACCCTCTATTATAATGGCCTAGCCCAATTTTTTTCCCGACGGTCTGTTGTGACTGCTGTTTTGTTGAGGCTGGGCGTATTGATTTTTTTCCCCACTTGCTGTGACGCGGCCGATACGGCTTGGCCTGCGCGCGCAAAGTGTAATTCAGTATTAGGGCCTAGGCTGGTCTAACCTTAGAACTTTCTGCTAGGTTAAACCCTTTCGCGGTTAAATTTTATTTATTTTCAATTAATAATTGTGTGAATGAGTTTATTTTTAAAATTAAATTCAAGAAAGCTTTAGTGTATTTTATTGTTATGGGTTATACGGTGCGTTGTCCGCTTTAGTTCCAAAATCTAAAACGCTGTCGGCAGGAGGGGCGATGAATAGGGGAATCGCTAACTAGGTCGCGAAGACTAGCCGAAAGACAGGCCGTGGTGTACAGAGGAAGGTTAGGGGAAGAAACTCGCCTCGCTCAAGCTATGGGGGCCCCACGTTGGTTTTTTTTTTTAAAGAAAGCCTGGCGGGCAGGGAGTATGAACTCATCGAAAAGGAATGTTTCGGAATGAAACTACTACCGTTACGGAGCGGGGAGTGCATTTAAAAAAAAAATTAAATAAAAAAAAAACACTCCAGGATGTCCGGGGAGTTTAAAGGGAGGGGCGGTAAATATTTTGTGGCTATCGTTGCAATGCACGGATGCACAAGGGAAAACCAGTTTGAAAATATTTACATCACATTTACATCCTGCTTTTCTATTTTGTCGTAAGTCGCGATTCTGTTATAAAGTTTCATCCGTTTATCATAATTTATATCAAGATGTGGTTAAACTTTTTAAAAAGCGAGGGTGGGGTCGTGGAAAGATGAACCACGCTGCATTCCACAACTTGCCCCACTTTCCCCTTGTTCCCGCGACCGTTGGGGTCACAGAAAAGTTAGGCCAACTAAACTCCGTGACCGCCACTATTTCTGCCCTGGACCGCGTGTCTCCCCCTTCCCCCTCCCCGTCGGCGCTGTTGCGTTTCTTGGTTCATTGACACCTCGTCTTTGTTTGACGTCAGTTTCTCCCTCGTGATCCGGGACTCTTAATTATCTCATGTCGATTTCTTCCTCATTAGTTATCAGCAATGAACAGATCTCTTTCAAGGCGTACTGTTTTTTTTCTTTCTAAAAATAGCTCTTTTTATGTTAAAACTACCGCCTCACATCCCTTCTTTTTTTGTGTGCAAGTTGGAAAGCTAAATTTACGCAAGCGGTGTTTATGTTTAACCCCCCTTTTTCTGACTGTCGTTATCCAGGGCGTAGAGGGTTAAATTGTATATAGAACGTGTTATCTGGGCCCGGTGCTGTCGGTAGACTGGTACGGTGTACGTCACGGTATCGTCTGCTATCAGTCGCGGACTTAGTACTACTTTATCATCAACGGTATTGTTAGTCGTTAGTTTAACGCCATGTTTTTTTTCTTCCCTCCAGCAGAATGGCATGCAGGTTCCACTTGAGCTGCTCCTGCTACACAGAGTCCAACACGTCTCTGGGGTCATTAAACTCATCGACACCTTCGAGAGGGAGGACGGCTTCGTCATCGTGATGGAGCGGCCGGACAATGTTCAGGACCTGTTCGACTACATCACAGAGCACGGGCCCCTGAACGAGCATTCCGCCCGGGCGTTTTTCATGCAGATCGTGCAGATGGTGCAGAACATTGAGAAGTGCGGCGTGCTGCACCGGGATATCAAGGACGAGAACATACTCGTGGATTTAAAAACTCTGAAACTCAAACTCATTGATTTTGGATCTGGAACTATACTGAGAGATAAAGATTACGATGATTTTGATGGTGAGTACATCTTTATTTTTAAAAAAAGAATTTAATTTCCTTGTATGTTGTTTAAATAGTTCCATGTTTAACCGTCTACTTACTACTATAATAGCTCCATTACTGTATAATTATATTTTGCCTCTTACGTCACTACGCTAGGGTGTAAAATGTTTGCGCATGAAATATTTAGCTACAATTACGCACCTTTACTGCAGGTATTACCCTGTTATTAAAAGCTAAAATGGTACTGGTTTGAAATCAATTATAAGGAAATAGCTTTGAATGTTTGGGTTTTTTTTTTTTAATAAAAAAAATTTCAATTGTTGCATTGCGAAAGATCAGGTTATAAGCCTAGTTTTTTTGGTAGGTTAAACAATTGTAGGTCATGCGGTAAAACTTTAAAATAAAACATTTATTTGAATTGTTGGTGTATTAGGATTGTATAGTCTAGTACACCAGTCTACAACTGCTCGGTTAAGACCAGTTTCAATAGAGCTCTTCTTTTTGCGGGACTTTTTTTTTTTTACCTTGCGCGCGTGCGGCATACCTAGCATATGTGACGTAGGATGGCACCATGAGTCATCATACCAGACTCTGGAAAAACCAGGCGGGCGGGGTTGGGAGGGGAGGGGGGTCGACTACAGCAGGTTGAAACAAAAGAGAATCGAGGTTGTTGGTGCAAGGATAGTTTCTATTTAGACCATCCGTTTATTTCATCAAGAGAGGGGGGGTCGGGTAGGGGGTGATGACAAGAAAGAGAATAAAAAAAAAATAATGACGTATCGTCCGTTTAGCCTGGCCCAGGTAGACGGGAGGGGGGGAGGGGGTAACATTCCAGTTGCAGTACACAAAAGAAGGCAATTCGCCAAGGAAGGTGAAAGTCTCAGGTACGCGCGCGCCAGGCTCACGTGACTTCGCCGCCTCCCCCTCCCCCCTCCCTCACCTGAAAAGCCGTCTACCCGTGACCGCTGTCTAGCGTTTGTTGCCAAACAATTCTTTTTAAACTGGCGTCTGCTGGGGCCCCTCTGTTACCCAAGTTTATTTGTACCAGGATCAGTACTGGCTTTTCTAGACTACCGTAGGGGTGGCGTGGGGTGCGACATCTTGCCCTATTCAAATTATAAGACCAAGAAATCTTTAGATGGAACATGTTGCAGTTCTTAATTTACATTTTTATTTTTAAATAAAAGATTTTTATTATATTTCCAGACCTGGTTTTAACAAAGAATTTTTTTATTCTCTCTTCTCTTGTAGGTACCCGCGTGTATAGCCCACCAGAATGGATCACAAACCGCCTGTACAATGGTAGACATGCCACAGTCTGGTCTCTAGGAATACTCCTCTTTGATCTAGTCAATGGTGATATTCCTTTTGAACAGGATGAACAGATTAAAGCTGCTCACCTACACTACAAGGCTGACCTTAGTCCAGGTGTGTACTCAAATTGTTTTTAAATTTTAAAAAATGTAAAAAAAAAAATTTTTTTTTAATTTAAAAAATTTTTTTTGTTGTAAATTGTTCAAAATTTATTTTGTATCATTAATGTGGGTATTCCTCTCTTCTATTTCCAGCCTGTAAAGACTTGATCCGCAAGTGCCTATCTGTCGAGCCCCAACACCGGCCAACTCTAGACCAGATCCTGTCCCACCCCTGGATGAACAAAGTTGTTCCTATTCCAATTCCTGAAAACCGTCGGAGAACAACACCATCTGGGAAAGTAGTGGACGTTGCCCTCTTGAGCAGTAACGAGTCTCTTTGATGATGAAGAATTGACTTTTTAGAACTTTTTAAAAATTGTATAGTCCGGGAGCTGCCGGAATCTGCCAGGGGGATACCACCCCGAGGAGACAAATCCCATGTCTCCTCAACCGCCCAGGTTCCCGTCCGGCCGATGCCAGCGGTCAGTGCCGACCAGATGACCAGTTATCAAATACTGGCAGGCCATGAGGGTGTCGAGGCCCCGGATGTTGAATCACATGCGTGATCGTGAAATTCTATGGATAGGACTGGACATCAGGAGTCAACTTGTGTAGGAGCATGACCTTCAAGACTTTTAACCAGGTGTCGTTAAAACGCTATTCTGTAGTTCTGAGGTTTTTATAAAAAAGTGCAATCGAATTTCATTGCAGCATCCTACATTAGTCATTATGTGATAAATCGTAATGTCTTTTTGTTAAGGTTTAGAAAGAAAAAAATTTAAACTTAACTAGTTGGTGGCGGTTTATATTCAGCCAGTCTTTTAGCATGAAGTTTAAAGGTTAAGTCTTACTCAACCAACCAAAAATAAATATATATTTAAGTAGCGCATTGCAAACCAGAGATTATACACATTTGTTTTGATATTTGTATACAGCATCAGTTGATTGTATGAAGAAAAAAGCTCTGCAGTATTAATACATTATCACTTGACCTTTCAACTTGACCCAACCCCGGATGACTTGTACAAACTGAATCAGTTGTATGAATTTCTATTTTATATTTACAATATTTTTTGGCTTTTCTTTTCCTCTTCGATTTTTTTTACAAAGCTATGCACAACTCTAGCGGATTATTGTAAATGGTGTTAAATATGTATGGGTTTCAGTTTTAAAAGGGCACTTTTTTTTTCTTCTACTGTAAATTCTAGTCAAATTTAGGGAGAGTCTATTTTTTATAAACATTTATTTAAAAGTCTGCCAACATTGTTCATGCTATGTCATACAACTAAAATAAATTTTCATTCAAATTTTTTTTTTTTTTTTAAATTTAAAAAAAAATAATTTTTAGTTTGTACATCAGGTCATCCTCAGTTAAAGCCATTAACCTATTTTCCTATCATAACTACGACTAAATGCATTCCAAACCATCATGATGGCGTCAGTCATCCTAAGCACCTGCCATCTCTGTAATCGTCAACGTCTGCATTTCTCACTCCCTATCTCCAATCAGCCAATAGACTAGTTGATACCCAGTTTTAAAAAAATACTGTTGCGCTACTAGACTGCCACTATTTTACCTGAATATAAACAGTGCCGGATTATTCAGACACTGCCATACCAATGTGAGAATCATCCTAATAATTATTTTTTTTTTAAATTCTGGCTAAGCAACTTAGGCTATATGCAAACTACCCATTATTTATAATCCATTCATGTATGTATGTAAATATGTAAGTTATAAAATAAGAAGCTATTTATTAACCGCATATTTTAACAATTTCCAATTGTGTACATTATTTTTCCTTACTTGATGGGGTCACGGATTAATTTTACAACTGTTGTTGTTGTTGGTTGGGTATGATGATGTTGAGAACAGTGTGAGTGTATTTATTCTGTGTAACAGTCTCATTGAAATACAAGAGCCAACTGTTCTTTGCCTAGTACGGGTGCAGTGTACAATGAAAGTTGAAATGTTAATTTAATTCTGTCAGCAATGGTTTTGACTGGCATCTTGGAGTGTCTATTAGAATGTTGGAAAGTGGATATTGTTAATTTAATACTGTCACGCATTTGACTGTGAAATCTCTTGAGTGCTGATTTAAAATGTGGAATTGTTAATTTAATGCTGTTAAGTATCAATCTTGAATGGATAACTTGTGTATTTATTGATAAAAAGCTGGTTGTTGCTGTTTTATTTAATCAAGAATGCATGTGGTGTTCTATCATTGGTATGGCACTATTTATTACATGATTAACTTAATCATTAACATGTTATTTATCAGATTCAAGCATGCAACTTGCAACTTCCACACCACTTTATCTGTAATTGTTTCATTCCTGAAGAAAAGGTTTTTAATTATTTTTTTTTGGTTCCAGCCTGTTTTCCGGTTATAATTTTCTTGTACCTAACATGCATGATACTGTACTATAGTTCCTCCACTTCATATCATGACTGTCATTATGGTTTTATTTTTTCTCCTTCCCCTTCCCTCTAATCTTTAATACACCAAGGCAGCAGTTGGCGAAGTATGCCTAAAAAAGCAAGCAAATAATCAATGCAAAAATGTACATGTGAACCTTTTTCCTTTTTTTTTTTTCAAATTGGATTTTCCAAAATTTGATTTGACATTTCTCTTACTTTTTTTCTGTACAAAATGTTTTATTTTTCTTGAGTTTCTTGCAGAATACTACAAATTAGTTTCACCTTTACCATGATTCAACTTTTTAGATGTATTTTATTTTAACAAGGGAATGACATAATTTTAGGGGACAAAAAAACTTCTCGTCCAGTTTTTAATAGTCGTACCCTCTCTCTAGTTTAAAGTGCACTTTAAAAAATTCTGAATTGAGACTTCTGTACATACATTTTATTTCCCATGGTAAACATCTTCCCATTTTTCCATCATGTTGTCATTGACTGTGTAACATAATGATTAATTTATGGTGAGTTTGGAGGTGAGCGCTATATTTATTTCCTCCTGCCCAGAGCGTGCGTGCGTGCGGCTGTGGGTACATAAGCTGGGAACCTGTAATTTATTTGAGTGATGGTGTGTGCGCTAGTCCTGTTTGAAAATTTTGAGTGACTTTAACATGAAGAGACGTACTGAATATTTTTAAAATGCTCAATTATGCATGTTTCCTTTTTTTTTTTTGATTCAAGTTGTAAATAATTTTAAAATGATGAATAAAACTGAAAATCTTAAAATATTTTTTATGGATTTTTTTTTATTACTTGTGCTTGTTCTAAAGTTTTGTGTTTGTGTCATTTGTGACTTTGTGTAATTTTTGTTGTGTTCTAAATCATGGAAACAAGAACTACATATCAACTTCTGGTAAAGAAAATACATGACGAGCTTGCTGTATTCAATTTCGAACTTAAAAATTGGCCAGATAAATTGGATTTCTTCAAGCCAAATGTATGAAATCATCACAAAACATGAAAGTATTGGATTACAAGGATGGAATGATAAAATTTATTTCAATTAAAATAAAGCCAAATTTATTAACTTATCAAAATACAGCTTCGACTAAATGTTCAACTCTTTAAAGCAAAAAGTTAAAAAAAAAAAGGTACAACTACCAGATATAAAAAGTGTTGGCAACTAGCCAAATAAATTTCTTTCTTTGAAGCCTTTTGTATAGTCAGCTACAGAAAGGCACTAATCATGAATACCTGCCATTCTTGAACGTTATTATAGAACTTATTGCTTTTAGCCATCGCAGTAATCTCTATAACCCTGTAGTCTTAAATTGTATTAGAAAACTTTCTAAAATGGCCATTGTGTTTTAATAAATGAATGGCGTAAGATAAAGTTCGGGTTTTTAAAAAATGCAGTTGAAAGATAGATTATAGTAATCTCCCCTTTTAACAAAATTCTGGTTTCTTTTCTCCGCCAATCACATTGACACCCAAGCCTGAGGGGAATAACCTTGAATTCAGCGAGGCGTGACAAGCGTTGCCTATGGTAACATTTTGCATTGGCATTTTTTAATTTAATTTTTTTTGCGGGAATTAAACAATGGTAGCGGTAGTAGTAGATATCAATTATTTAACATGGCTAACTCTGTAGCTTAAAATCTTGTGATAAAATCTAAGATCGAATCCCCCAACCCCTTATTTTGGTCTTCCACTCCACCTAACCCCAGTTATCCTGAAACATACACATAGTAATAACGTGACGTCACAAATACCCCCCTCCCCATCCCCACTCCGTCTGCGGCATAAAATCTTTAAATCAATATGTTGGTTTAAGGGGCAGGAGAGAGGCTATAGACATATATATATATATATATATATATATATATATATATATATATATATATATATATATATATATAGGCCTATATATATATATATATATATATATATATATATATATATATATATATATATATATATATATATATATATATATATATATATCTATATATATATATTTGCGAGCAGGCTATGTATAGGTATATGTAAAGAGAGCCATGAATCCCCACTACCCCCATATTATGTCTTAAAAGATATCTTTCTTAACGTTTACTGTGCGCACAACGAAATATATCTCCTTATTTAAAACATTTTGTATTCCTTAATTTTCATCGAATAAATATTTTTGTATGCTGAATATAGACGACTTTTTGTCTTGAGGGTTTTAACTGAATTGCGTTTCACATTTTTTTTAATGTGTCCTCAACATTATTACCTAGGCGCAGATTTTGAGCTGTGTTCGTATTGGTCGTATTGTGTTTAGTTAGTAAATTTTCACTAAAATTAACTCAATTTTATTTTACACATATAGAGTTTCCATTATAGCCATAAAGTTACACTAAAATTGATTAATTCAATCTAATTTTTACCAGTGTAGAATTTCCAATGTAAAAATGACGTCATACGGATACTTGACGTGATCTATATTACGTTAGAACGTGATCTATACTCAGTGTGTCACTAGGTTCAGTGCCACCCGTAGTGGTAAATGAGAGTGTCATCCCAACAATCCGACCCCCCCCCCCCACCTTCTTTAAAAAATATTCATTTTTTTTTGTGTGTCACCTTCCTCCCTTACTATTTTATTATTTTAAACATAGTTTTAAGATAGTTTTTGAACTGTTTTTGATTTGGTGTCACCCCCGCCTTGTGATACTACTGTTTACTATATTATGACGTGACATATACCATGTCATGACATGACCCACACCATATTATGACGTCATCTAAAGTGAAATCATGATATGGACAGACTTGTCTTAATTTAAGCTGGACGTCCACCTACTTACGCGAGACGTCATGACGTCTTAAATTCCATATCCTTTGTTTTGACCCCTCCCACTCAGTGACGTAAAACCAACGTACCCTATGACGCGTTGCGTCTCGTCCCCATGACGTCATATCGACCACGCCACCATCATCCACCAGTCGAGTGCACCAGCTGCCCATACACAGTACGTCATATTGACGTCACACGATCCTACCGTCTCTAATGACGTGTAACTAAGCGGGTTGTACTTGTCCCAAGCTAAGACTTAACTAACCCCCCCCCTACCCCCACCCCTACCTAGTCCCAAGCTAAGACTTAACTAGCCCCCCCCCCTCCCTCCCAACTTCTGAGACAGCTGGTGCTTGCCGATTAAAAAAAAAACACACACACACCTAACAATAGAAGTATATGATCAATATCTTTCATTACGTTATGTAATGATATGGGTAAGCTGTGGATGTCAACACAGCTTCTTGTGGGTTAGGTGATGTGTTAACTCAGAGGTTAGGTGATGTGTTAAATCAGGGGTGTGTTAACTCAGGGGTTAGGTGATGTGTTAGGGGTTAGGTGATGTGTTAACTCAGATGATGTGTTAACTCAGGCGTTTGGTGCTGTGTTATGGGTTAGGTGATGTGTTAACTCAGGGGGTTAAATTAGCTCATGTGTTACAACGACGTGGAAACACACTAAAACTGTTTATAAAGTTCCGGTTAATGTTTTTAAACCACCATCACGATATCAATTTCTTAGGTTAAAGTCTCAACACACAAAACGTTTATGGGAGGCGGGGATTGAACGTTTTAACATACAATAACCATAATATATAAGTAAGTCAAAATCACGTTTTTATAGGCTTGGATTAAATGTTTTAACACACCTTGATATAAGTAAGTCAAAATCAAGTTTCTAAAGTCAGTTTTGTCTGTCTCTCATTTGACGATATATAAGCAAGACAAGACTGTACTTGTCATAAATTTCTGTATCAATTTTTCAAATGTTTCTTTTCAAACATGTGTATTCATTGATCTCCACAAATGTAAAATCAATGAGACGTTTATGTAATGTAATCGTAAGTCCGTGTATATTTATATTATATTGATAAACGTTTAAAATAATTTTTGTTGTATGATAATAAGTCTGTTGGTGTATATGTTACTGCGTATATTGAGATGTCTTTTGATGTATTGATTTTTAGTAAGACACAGAGGTTAAAAAAAACACAGCTCTTAAAATAGATGCAATAACCTCTTAAGCCTAAGTATTTTGTATTATTTATTTTTGTCTTGGGTCAGAGGCGTAGCGACCCTTCCCGGCGCCCGGGGACATACTTTCAATTTGGCGCCCCCCTCGGGAGTAAATTTTCGATTTGCACCCCCCCTCTCGAACTTTTCATTTGCACCCCCCCCCCCTTCGAACTTTTCATTTGCACCCCCCCCCTCAAATTTTCGATTTGCACCCCCAACCCTCGAACTTTTCATTTGCACCCCCCCTCAAACTTTCAATTTGGCGCCCCCCTAAGGTCGGCGCCCGGGGACATATGTCCCCCCCCCGCCCCCCCCCCCTCGCTACGCCTCTGTCTTGGGTGTAATCACAAAGTATCAAAAATGGACAGGATAAACATGATATGGCCGTATGTGGCCCTCGGACCGTAGATTGTGTGTACACACACTCAGTGGTATAGTTCAAATTTAGCTGTCTCATTAAAAGATCACAAGAGAAGCCTCAGAACCCCCTCCCCCGGCTTCTAACTATCCTAGTCATTTAGGATCTATTTTAGAGAATTCTGGACTTGTAAGTTTTCTGATCGAATCTACAATTACACGGGCAATTTTGATTGATAACAAAAATCGATAATTTTATTGTTTTGGATTTATTTAGCCATGTTATGTTATTTATGTAAAGAGAAAAAAAACTTAGTTCTTAAAGGTGCTTATATCCAGGTCATTGTCTGTTTGTAGTTACGCAATACACTGAATTCAATTAAAATTTGTATGAAATATTAGCTAAGCTTGTGGGTGGGATGGGTAGCGGGTCATCTAGGGAGGGGGTAGGTGGTAACTATAGGATTAGGAAGTCAACGTTTTGTTTAGATACTAGCGGGGGGGGGGGGGTGGTGCGACTGCTGGTTATGATGTTAGCTCAACCCTCGGTCTTATTTAACCGGTTAAGTTCTAGGTAGTTAGCCGAGGTAAAAGTAGTCCCTTGGTAGTATATTACAAAAGTTGATCACTAGGAAGTTTTATACCAAAGTAGTCCCAGCTCAGTTTAATACAAAAGTAGATCTCGCAAAGATGTTTTTTTAAATAAAAGTAGTTCCTGTGTAGTTTTATACAAAAATATCTGTCGGAAAGTTTTATACAAAAGTAGAAGTCGGGAAGTTTTATACAAAAGTAGTTTCCGCGAAGTTTATACACAAGTTGTCTCCGCGAAGCTCGTTTTTTTCAAAAGTAGTTCCGGCATCCGTTTATTTATATTTGTGACGTTTCCTCTTGTATCATTCATTAATTTGTGTTTCCATTCACAAACCTTTACTAAGCAGTGTGTTTTTCTTTTGTACTGGCCCATTCGCGACGCAGGACAAATGAGTACCCTGCAACATACAATCTAGAGTAGTGAGATGCTAGTTAACTCTACCATCCCAGGAATTAGTCGTTAGGGGTTCCAGAATTGAGAAGTCAGAACCGTCTGTTCATCTGGTGGCAGTAGAGCAGAGTTTCTTTCAGACTTTTTTCTCCGGGGGTGGAGGCAATATATTTTCGGGGGTGGGGGGGGGGGGGGGTGGACACTGGTATGTATTTCCTATATAAATTCAATTTCGATCGGGGGGGGGCGTTGACATTTTTCGGGGGTGGGGGTGGGGGGGAGCACCTTCGAAAAGATGCCTGGAAGAAACTCTGGAGTGGAGGAAAAAGCGGGTTGGTGGGGGGGGGGGGGGGGGGGGGGTCTCAAAATCAGAT